AAATTCCGAGATTCCGTTTTCAACGCAACAATAATATTGTCAGTTTTACCAGAATCGCTCCGCCGATCCGTCATCAGAACCCCAAACCCGGAGATCATACAGAGCACGGCAGAGAACCCCTGGTGGAGTCTTCACCAATTTAGGGGAAAATTCCTTCCCAATCCCCAAAAAACAATCGAAGAATCCCAGAATCAGCAATCTGCAACGTGACTTTGTATCAATATTACAATCCAGTTTCATTTTGTTACTTAATAAACACATTTCAAGCTTTCTGAATCAATCAGCTCCTGGGGGGGAGGAGCATATGCTCCTCAGGGGAGGTCTCTATTTTATTAATTGCACTAATAAGTAGGGTTGCCACCTTTTCTTCAAGCGAAACCCGAACACCCCTGCGACGCGCAGACATTTTTTTGAGGGAATGAGTCACAGCCCATTCATATGTAAATATCACAGTTGAAACTATTTTCAGCGGGGGGCCAGTAGCCCCTATGTTAATTTTGGTTGCCCCTGTCTGCCTGACATCTTGTGTCCGGGTTTCAGCTGCCATGAAACCCGGACACAGCATTCAAAACCCGAACTGTCCGGGTGAATCCTGGACAGGTGGCGACCCAACTAATAAGAAACAATACAGAACAATAACGAGCAGAAATGACGGCGAGCGCCCCTAATAAATGCCACCAATGGGGATTGATACCCCGTGCTTTTCCTGTTGGGCTGCTCAGCAATATTAATGACGGGGGTCTCTAAGCAACTGCCCCTAACAACGGCGATAAGACGTTACCCATAGCAACTGCCCCACAATACAGAGATAACCGTCACACAAGCTCCAGGTTGTTACTGTCATACAGACGCGTCAGGGCCCCTCCGGGGAGCCCCGATGGAGGGAAGAAGTGACACGAGTCGCCTGTCCACACACTTTGCCTCGTTTCCATTTAATTGCCAGAAAAACACGAAATCTTCCCACAGATCAAATAATAATAATTTGGTGTTTAAATAGAATGTGAAAATACATTAAATTTGTTATATAGATTTCCTTTCATATATATAGAGATGTCACTCGCACAACATTAACACAAAACAAACCTTCCACATCCAGAACAAAAAAAACAAAAACATTTGGCGGTAAATTTCAGGCGTTGAAATCATCATCATCATCATCATTGTCATCATCATCATCATCGTCATCATCATCATCATCGTCATCATCATCATCATCGTCATCATCATCATCATCATCGTCCGGCTACGTTCCCTTCACTTAAATAGGACACAATAAAAATATGAGGATCACGTTACGGCGCCTCACAAGGCCGTCCTTCAGCTGCGGGGAGGAGTGCATTGTCTCTGGCTCAGGAGCAGGTGGCGCAGGTCCGCGGGGGCGGGCACCGGG